GTCCCGATCTGAATCAAATGATTCGTGCGACTCACTCCGAAGTCCCGATCTGAATCAAATGATTCGTGCAACTCACTCCGAAGTCCCGATCTGAATCATATGATTCGTGATACGCGAACAGTGGTTTAACTGATGCGGAGTTTTGAAAGCTCTTTCACCCATCACTACGCGTTTTTTTAAATCATTACAAGACATGTTGAAATTTGAAAATGAATGGCTCTTTTGATCTGGTTTTTGCTAGTCAATCACTTGAACTGAATGATCGAAGTCACGAGTTTGAATAAGTTGGATCGGTTCCAGCGTAAATGACTAACGCAATTGAATCGGTTTGTCTGTTCCTCCGCATTTTACGTCTTCACCCATGTTTGTACAAAACTGTCAGTAAAACTACTGGCTTAGCTCGCTAGTTTAATGACATTAACTGAAATAAGTGAAAAAATTATGATGTTTACAAATATAATATCCAGGCCATTCCACTGAATGGGTGCCATTTCTTTCCCCCGGACATTATACAAACATACATAAAAATTAACTATAAAATACATTTTATTATTAAGCACATTAATCTAACTGCACATTTTAAATATATAATAAAAAAATATTAAAAACTACCTAAAACACTGAAAATATTGCATTTGTAGATGTCCCTAGTGCTTAACGCTACATTTTAACATGAAATATACTATTTAAAATCCTTCAGAAATCATTTTTATTTTGCATTTTTGTGTACCTCCACATCCCATCTGTGCTTTAAATATTTATTTCAAAATAAATGCATAATATTTTGGATAAAATACACATTTTAGTCATGTCCCCAGGTTTTCACTCAGTCCTGTTACCCTAACACATTCCCCCCTCTAAAAAACTGGGAAAATTCCACAAGACACATTTTCAACATAATGTTGCAACATCTGGATCATCTGAAGGCAATGAAATGACCGAAAGCATGTGGTCTTATTTTCTTTTCTGTATATTTGATGATATTTTAATGGTGGCTGGGAGCGTCATTATAAATATACTGTCCTGTTACCTAAATTATTTCTTAGATTTTACTTGTTTATTTTAAAAATGCAAATCTGTGGTGAATCACTATACTTTGCTGAGTATTCTCATAATATTAGCATGTACTCCATGTGGCTAGATTATATGTATTTGCTAATTTTATCCTAAAATCTCAATCCTGTTACTTTCAGTCCTGTTACCCATGTACTCATTTATCCTATATTTATATATAGTAACTGAATAAAAGTAACAGGAGTGAGTAGTGTCATCAGATTTATTAATGTAAATATTACGCTACATCCATATTAATCTAGATGAAAATGCATCTTTTTCTCAATGTTTTGGCCTTCTATCCACACTGAGACAATGCTTTTGCCCAGAGAAAACCTATGGTTGTTCCTGCATTGTTGTTTTATATTACATTCCTGCAAGTATGACAGAAAATTTCTGTCTTGTGGCAGTTATGTATTAGACTAATATATGGAATGGCGTTTGAGTGTGAGCTGTGCTATAAGAAAACAATATCCATAGAAAAACTGAAAATATATTATTTGTTAAGTTTATTATTTTTAATAGCAATTTTAATTTAATATTTAATATTTATTATTATTTTATTGTTATTTATATCTTATCTCATAATCCGTCCTCTACCCCTAAACATAACCCTAACAAAAACCTCTGCAGACCACTAGATTTGAATAGAAACATGGTTTGGCCTTTTTTAGCAGTGAGATCAGCTCACTAGTCAATGTGCAACACTTTCACTATATCAGTGCGGGTATTAACACCACATGTGTAGTCAAACCTGTATACTAATATAATGGATACACATTCCTGTTACCCAGTTTCATTCCTGTTACTAAATAGTTTTTTCTTTAAAAAATAAAGTTAAACCACTATGCTGATGCTGCTAAAAAGAACATTATTTTGTGTATTTGGTGTAATGAAATGTGTTTATGCTGTTTAAGGTTCAAAAAACACATTATTTTCCACATACTGTATATTATTGTTTCTCCTCTATGCCCTGCCTTTCTGAAACGCGTTGATTTTTACAAACCTCATCGGTCTGAAAAGCGAGGTGTGCTGTGATTGGCCAACTATCCAGTGTGTTGTGATTGGCCGAATACCTCAAGCGTGTGATGAAAATGTTACGCCCCTATCATATTGTGATGCCGTGTCCCAGCCGGAGCAAAGAGACAAAACATTAAAACCCATTATAAACGAGGCATTTGTTGCATCCAGTGGGGACATAATTACTGATTATAATGACTTATACTGTCTTTTTACGCGTTATGTTGCATTGCGCCGCATAAACATAAAACCATGTCTGCATTTGTGATTGGAGAAATGACAAACAACAAGCGCTACTCTACACTGCTCAAAACTCGCGTTTGAATCGTCAGTGGCAAATTCTTTAAATATGAAAAACGTACTTACAGTCTGTGACTCAGAACAGCCGATATTGTAGTCTACCAGGAAACAGTCCTCCATAAAATGTGCTGCACACATCTGAATATTTGGGTTGATCATAGAAAATGTATAAGCTTGAGCTTTGAGTTGCCTTTAAAATAAAAAAAATGGGTTTGTGTACTTTAGAAACACCTTGTGTAGATAAACAGTGATTTTTTTATTATAAAAATAATATTTTTTGACCACGAAACCAACAATTTCTTTAAAATATACACCATAAGGACTGAGAAAAATGCATCCATCTTCCACTTAAAAATTGTGAAAAAAATTAAATAAAGTTACCCGAGATGGACCAATACATATTTTGAATATTTAAATAATATGTGTATTACTAGATTCAGTCTTTAAAAAAGATAGATTATTATTATTATTTTTTTTATTTTTATTGTTTTGGAAGCAAATGGCACCCATTCGTTGGAATGGCCCTAATATTATTAGTAACTGCACTTATTAATGCAAAACAACAGTAATTTTATGATTAAGTTATCTTTATTTTTAATACCCCACCCCCAGCGCTACCAAATCTTCTTCTGGCGCCACCATCTGTAGAACTTAGTTGCACTGGTGCCACTGATCTCATATTCTAGTCTGGAGCCCTGTAAGCAACAATCTTCCCTTGTGCTCTAATTAATACATGCACGTCTGCTGCTGTAACGTGCGCTCGGAGCGTTATTATAAAAAGAGGAGGCGGTGCTCCATGACGCAACAGCTTTTATTAGCCAATAGAGAGCGCGATATGTAAATGAGCTCGTGTAAAGCAGGAAGTGCGGGTGCGCCTCAGTCTGTCCATAGATGAGACGAGGAGGGAAGAAAATGCTAGAAAGCACCACGGATAATGCAACGCTAAATAAACACACTGTGTCCTAACGACAGAGCACAAATCTACATTTGACCAATACAGGGAAACGGAGCTGTTTGTGATCGTTTGGGGAACGAGGTAGGATGTTTTCATCTGCATTGAATCGATGCGTTTTTTTACTTGTGTATGTGTTGGGGTGTCGTCTCGTTTTCCTGCTTATTCTGATCATCAAAACGCTATTTTGCTATTTTCAACATAACAGCCTGTATTGTCATGATAGCCTAGTGTTTTGTCTTAAGTAGAGATATGTCTTAAGTAGATGTTTGTATAAGTGTCACATATACCTAACGTTATCCATCACACTAGTATGAGTGTAAATGATGGGCAGATGATTCCTATTCTACGCTGTTGACATCTGCAGTACATGGACATATATATCCACGCTGTGTATAAACATAATAACCACTGGATATGTCAGTATGTGAGGGTGTTTTGAAGTAAAGGCAGATGCTGGGCCTATTTCTGCAGGAATCATCTGCACACTGTCACGATCATCAAAACACCATCATGAAGTGTTTATATTCTTTACTTTAATATTACTTGTTGGTATTTAACATATTGATCATTTATTATCATAATCAGTGGGTTGCAATCTTATGTCCAGGTCATTCTTCTGAAAGCTGTCAAGAGGATGTCCAGGTTATTTATATAAATGAAGTCTGTTTTATGTCCATTGAGATATTTGGCACTATTACTTTGATGACAATTAATCAGATTTGATCCCTCCATTCTCATTATTGTAATCCAACCTTGACATTGCTTTTAGCATTTCTGTTATTTTTATTCTTATTACGTAATATGGTAGTTGTATTACTCCATTACAGTAAATGAATAATGTTATACAATGATTTTAAAATTGATATAAAGCAATGCAACAAATGCTACCATGATTCATAAGAACTTAAAAATTCCTATTTATTATAATCCTAAACAGGGTTGATTATAGTTAAATAAACTAAAACCAGATTTTTTTGTTGTTACTTAAAGGGGTCATATGATGCGATTTCAAGTTTTCCTTTCTCTTTGGAGTGTTACAAGCTCTTGGTGCATAAAGAAGATCTGTAAAGTTGCAAAGACTGAAGTTTCAAATCCAAAGAGATATTCTTTATAAAAGTTAAGAGTCAGCCACGCCTACCTAAAACGCCTCGTTTAAACACCCCCCCACATGTCTACGTCACGATGTGGGAAGATTTGCATAACGCAAAAAGCAAAACAAAATTAATAAACCTTTAACTAAAAGTAAAATATAAATATTAAATAAAACAATAACTAAATAATAAAATAACAGATAAAAGCAAAAATATAAAATCTAATTAAAATTGTTAATAAAACTGTAATACTATTTCATTAATGCAAAAACTTTTTTTATTATTATTATTATTTTCCCTTGATTTTGAAGTGCAATATGCCCTGGCCTTTTTCTGGATAGGTTTCATGAGAATCTCTGTATTTAAGCATAACAGTTGTCATAACAAACATTTAAATATGCATTGTATGAACATTATACAAATCCATATTTCATGACACTCATGTTTGAAAGTTAATTACCGACCTATTAAGCGTTATGTAATCATGTTTCTTGATAAAATAAAACAAAAGTGTATGTAATATATATTTAATTAGATTCCTCAAGTTGCTTCTTGCTCTCAAATAAATTTGTATGAGATTAGACACTAAATTTGGATTGTCTTGGATTAACTTCATCAGTGAAGTGAATTCTGTTGGCTGTAATTGTTTTGTAATGTACTATTGCATTGATTTCATTAATTCAGATTAATTTCACAAAGCAAACTCATGGATGGATACAAAAGAAATCCAGTCGTCCTCATTTAATTAGGGGACAAAATTCTCATGTAGTCCATTAAACTTCATGCATGTTAAGACAGAAATGAGCATGGTCTCAGGGAATCAAGTTGACCGGTGCATTTCCTCACAATTAAAAATCGAGGTCTTCTCTAGTTAGACGGGTTGGATCACGTACACTGCCTTAGCATTATCTAATTAAAATCAAGAATTTGATTTTTAATTTCATTTAGTACTCTATAATGATTCTCTTAAACTTCCTCTTTATTTAGAAGCATGAGTCAGATTTAACACTTAAATGCTGTAAATTCTCTAGTCCTCATCTAATACAGTAATGTCATGAAGGAACCTTATTGGAATCATTTGAGGAGAGCGTTCAGTGCAACTGCTTATGTGAGTCATAGAGGAGTCTTAAAGCGATAGTTCACCCACAAATGAAAATTGTTATTGTTTACTCACTCTAATATTCTTTCAGGCCTATATTTCTGTTTTAAAGAATGTCTTCTGAAGCCATATAATGAGATTTGAAATCAATATTCAACAAAAATCTCACTTGACAGCCATGGCAGTATTATTTTAGTATCACTGAGATATTATAATAGCTTTTATTATTATTTTAAATGAGTTTTTTTATTGTTCATTTTAATTGTAAGTTTTAGTAATTTCATTCTGCAATTTTAATTTATTATAATTTTTAAATGTCTATATAGTTTTTATAAATTTTTTAGGCCTTGTTTATTATATTTGTTTTAGTGCATAAAGTTAAATCTAAATCAAAATGAGAATTTTTGTCTTGGCAACTAACTGAAATTAAAGTAATTTTTTTGTATTAGATTTTACTTGAGTGACAAAAATGTTTTTACTGGTTTTAGTTTTATAAGTAAGTAATAATAACCCTGAGCCATGGTCACTATTCACTTTCATTGTACGGAAAAGAGCAGCTTAGACATTTTGTTATAAATAACTACTTTGAGTTCCACCAACAAAGTGTGAGAACTGCCGTTTTTGGGTGAAATATTCTTTTAATATGCCACAAGTAGTTAGGTTATTAAAGGTGCCATAGAATGCATTGATACAATATTTTAAATTGTTCTCTGATATCTACATAGAAGGTATGTGGCTTAGGTAAGGGCAAAAAATCTCCAGAAACTGTTTAACATGTCCATTTACAACCCTAGGATTTGTCCCTAGAATGAAATGGTCTGTTTTTACCTTATTTGGAAGGGTCATGAATAATAATGTTGAGCTCTGCTCTGATTGGCTGTTTCACAGTGCGGCTCAATTTTGAGCTCTGCTGTGATTGGCTATTGCACAGTGCAGCTCATTTCAGTAGCTCACACAGCAGGAAGGGAACACAGGAAAAATATATATTTCAATACTGTCTCTCGCAGTTATATCATTGGGTAATTATACTGTATATAAAATGTGGGCATCCGGGAGCCGCCATTAATATGCGGGGCATTGAAACTGCTTTCGAATGCACAATCACTTTTTACTTTCACTTTTGAGATTTGCGATCGCACGCTCTGCTGTGATTGGCTATTGCACAGTGCAGCTCATTTCAGTAGCTCACACAGCAGGAAGGGAACACAGGAAAAATATATATTTCAATACTGTCTCTCGCAGTTATATTATTGGGTAATTATACTGTATATAAAATGTGGGCATCCGGGAGCCGCCATTAATATGCGGGGCATTGAAACTGCTTTCAAATGCACAATCACTTTTTACTTTCACTTTTGAGATTTGCGATCGCACGTGCTCTGTGTAAACTACAGCGAACTACAGTAAACTACTTGCCACATATTTTACATTTTACATGTTGCTCAGGATCAAATCATTCGCCATCATCCTCAGTCATCTCTCCTTACTCTGTTTATGTGGTAAGTGAAATCTTATGTACTGTAATGTAACAGACTACCGCTAGCAAGCAGCTAACCATGTCCCTTTAGTGGCTCGTGTTTTATTAGAATTCGCGTTATTTGTTTTCCGTGCCTTTCTGAATACAGACACCAACCTATCCCTGCACATCACATGCCGGTTCGGCTGGTGGCTCGCATAGAACATGAGTGGGTATATGCAAATGTTGGGGGCGTAACTATTAGTGATCCCGACTGTAACGTCACAGTTGGTGTTATGTTCTGATTCGCCTATTTTTCAGTGGTCTGTTACGTGTAAGTGTAACCGTTCCTTCTTTCCCTTCCTTAGAGAAATTGACCAGATCACTGTGACCCACAGTCCACACCCATAATATCAGAGAATACAAGATCACATTCCAAGACCCATCTAACTTACAAAGTAAGTGACTCTGTTATCAGCTAGCCACTTTATATTTGTCTGACAGAACATTGCAATAGTTTAAACCAGATCTTGCCCATAGATCCTAATGTCAAGTGATTTTCTAGTTTGTGCTTTATTGTATTTTAGTTTACTGAAGCATTGCATCAGTCATCTGTTGTTGTTTATTTTCAGCACAAATATGAACACTCATGAATCTGAGGTGTACACGGTGGCGCCGGAGATGCCGGCGATGTTTGACGGCATGAAGTTGGCGGCGGTGGCCACAGTTCTCTACGTCATCGTCCGGTGTCTAAACTTGAAAAGTCCCACAGCTCCGCCGGATCTCACTTACCAGGATACAACACTCAGCCACTTCCTGCTCAAGTCCTGTCCTATTCTGACCAAAGAGTGAGTACCACACTTCAGTTTATCCTTTCACTGCACTTACTGTGTCTACTGAGTAAACCGCATCTCTAGCTTAGAGGCTGTTCCTGAAGCTGCGCTGCTTTTAGCACATGGTTGCTAAGACTAATGCAGCGTTCCTAGAATCACTTACATAAATATTCTCAACTGTTCTTTTTTTTTTTTAAAGGAATTTTTACTTTTTTATAGCAGGGACACAGTAAATTGATTAAAAGTAACAGTAAAGACATTTATAATGTTGCAGATGATTTCTGTTTCAAATGAATGCAGGTCTTTTGAACTTTCTATTAATCAGAGAATCCTGAAAAAATATAGCAGAACTGTTTTCAACTGTTTCAGTGGTCTTGAAAATTACAAGAAATGTTTCTTGAGAATGAAATCATCATAGTAGAATGATTTCTGAAGGATCATGTGACACTGAAGACTGGAGTAATGATGCTGAAAATTCAGCTTTGTCATCATAGGAATAAATTACATTTTAAAATATATTTAAATAGAAAACAGTTATCTTTAAATCTTGGTAATACCATGTTTGTTTTGAACATGTATCAAAATATAAAAGCCATTGTTTATGAATATTTTAATCATTCAGTACCACGGTTTGTATCAAAGAATTGTGTATTATTTATAGGATAATTAATATTTAGAATTGGCTTTAATTTATATACTCCATTTTAGTTTTTAGTAGGGCTGCACGATATATCAAAATTATCGAAATATCGCAAATGTAAATATCGCAATATGCATATCGCAAGGGTGTGCGATATCTGAATCATTTTAATAATAGGCTACTTAAATCAAAACGTTGCAAAAGGTCAAAGTTTTAGTTTGACGCATATAGCAGAGAATTGCTTGACGTTAAAAAGAGTTAAGTGCAATAAGTTGCGGAAAACAACTCTTTGCCGTCTCGTCTTGCTGTCTGACTCACCCCTGAAGCGCACGCACAAGCCGCATCTCACACAGCGTCTCTTCAGTTCTGCCGCACACGTGCAAAGCGCGAGCGCGCACAGAGAGACGTGTTTCAGACGGCGCGCGAACACCGAGTTGATTCGTCTTTCGCATCTCCTCATGTTTGAACAGACACATACACACAGAATAATGTCAATAGTACCCGTCTTGACGATCATTCTCGTAAATGCAGTCGGTTATGTTTTAAATGAATGTAAACAGCTGAGAAAGAAATTGGATGTGTACAGGTGCATCTCAATAAATTAGAATGTCGTGGAAAAGTTCATTTATTTCAGTAATTCAACTCAAATTGTGAAACTCGTGTATTAAATAAATTCAATGCACACAGACTGAAGTAGTTTAAGTCTTTGGTTCTTTTAATTGTGATGATTTTGGCTCACATTTAACAAAAACCCACCAATTCACTATCTCAACAAATTAGAATACTTCATAAGACCAATAAACAAACATTTTTAGTGAATTGTTGGCCTTCTGGAAAGTATGTTCATTTACTGTACGTGTACTCAATACTTGGTAGGGGCTCCTTTTGCTTTATTTTTTTGCCATGTCCCTTTAGTGGCTCGCGTTTTATTAGAATTAATGATGCTGAAAATTCAGCTTTGTCATCATAGGAATAAATTACATTTTAAAATATATTTAAATAGAAAACAGTTATCTTTAAATCTTGGTAATACCATGTTTGTTTTGAACATGTATCAAAATATAAAAGCCATTGTTTATGAATATTTTAATCATTCAGTACCACGGTTTGTATCAAAGAATTGTGTATTATTTATAGGATAATTAATATTTAGAATTGGCTTTAATTTATATACTCCACTGGTTATTTAAAGCCAGTTTGCATTGTGTTGATGTTTGTGTTGCTTAATTTATCTGCTCTGGGGTTTTCTGAACTCAACTCACCTCAAACGACATGTTTTTTTATGGTAAAGCTCTTTGTGCTGATCCTCTTGTCTTCTTATTTGACCGTGTCATTGTGAGCAGATTAAACCAGGTCGGCTTTCATTCCTTGCATCTCATAAGCGATATTTTAAGGATAATAACATGTAATAGTCACTGGTGATGTTGCTACGCTTGAGGCTATATCGTGAGAGTATGTTGTGTAATACCCAAGGAGGTGTGGAATAGATCACAGTGACAGTGAAAAGGGAAAGAAGGCGTTCAGTGGATTTTGTTTACTGCTGTTTTTAGGCTCACTTTGTGCAAACGAACGTTGTTTAAGTGGTCTGGATGTCTTTAGTTAGCAGAGCAAAGTTGGGCCAAGTGAATGAGGTTATTGTTCAGTGAAAATTTTTTTCATGGAATGTTACAGTGCTGCCAAACGATTAATCGCATCCAAAATAAAAGTTTACATAATATATGTGTGCGTACTGTGTATATTTATTATATATGTATATGCATGTATATATTTAGAAAATATTTGCATGTATTTACATGCATATATGTATATAATGCATATAATTTATATGATTTATAAATATATTTAATATATAAACATAACATATTTTTCTTAAATGTATACATGTATGTGTGTGTATTTATATATACATAATAAATATACGCAGTACACACATTATGTAAACAAATTTTTATTTTGAATGCGATTAAATCGTTTGACAGCACTAGTTAAAACAAAGTTGCATCTTCAAACAATAATATTCTAGAATTTTACCTCACAAAACTCTGTAAAGGTGTCTCAGAGGGTGGTATTTCAGAAAGGTACAAATGAAACGGCGCAATTCTAGAAAGTTGCATCTTCAAATAGTGATTTTGTAGAATGTTATACTTAAAACAGTGGAAACCAAGTAGGTAAAGAGTTTTTAATGTCACTATGTGATAGGGTTGTGCCGATAGATGATAGTATCGTGTATCGACGATAGTCAGAGATATTGCCTGTGGCTGATGCCACTGACGATAGCAAGACGATTGTTATTATAATTATTATTATTATTATTATTATTATCAGGTTAGTAATACTATCTAATTAATATTAGGGCTTATTTGTTCCATTATATTTATTTTTCCGCATTTTAACAGTGTCGCGTGTTATAACCAATCACACACGATTATGTTATACTTATGAATGCAATGGCCAATCAGAGGCGTTCAGATGAGTCATCGCTGAAACACCGGAGTTTCGTTGTTCAGCGCGCGCTGACTGAATTCTGACTCACGAATTCTTTCATCATAAACCACAAAATGCAGATGTACGTGCGATGTAAGTATAAGAGATTTATTCATCATACAGTGTAGATGGCTTCACTGATTTTAACGGGAGTGTATTTTAAAGTGCATAAACTCGCGCTAGACTGAGTTTGTGATGTTCTTTGGTAATGTAAATGTTCTTTGCTCGTTTTCTGTAGCTGCTTTTTGAATAACGGGAAATATAAGCATTATAATGAGTAACTTACAATATTTCTATTGAATTGTTATCATGTTAAATACAAATTCAGTCACATTAAAAAGGCTGTTTTTAGCCTTATGCTGGAGTTGGTTCAGTTTCCGGCAATGAAACGAAGTAATTAAATAAATTAGCACGATAAAATCGTGTATCGGCGATCTCACAGGCTGACGATATGAAAATTGAGCATATCGCCCAAAACTACTATGTGATTTGCGAAAATCTGCTTAACGTGAATGCGTTGTAACTAAAAAATTCACAGATTAAAAGAAGCATTTTCTGTTTAGATTTTTTCTGTTTTTATTCTTGAATGAACATCCATAGTGTGAATTTTACAGAAATTATCCAAAATAAAATGTTGTTTCTGAGGCATTTGTAATAGTGATTCAAGTTACCTAAAGAGGATGCATGTCATTTTTTGTCCTTTTTAATTGTAAATGAATTGTATTGGCATAACGGTTTGGGTCGGTATGATTTTGTAATGCTTTTGAAATAAGTATTTTATGCTCACCAAGGCTGCATTTATTTGATCAAATAAATGAATACATTCATAAAGGTTATATTGTGAAATATTAATTGAAATTTAAAACAATTGTTTTCTGTTTGAATATATTTTAAAATGTAATTTATTCCTGTGATGCAAAGCTGAATTTTCTGCATCTTTACTCCAGTTTTCAGTGTCACATGATCCTTCAGAAATCTTGCTAATGCTGGTATTCTGCTATATATATTATATATTTTCTGCTATTAAATATTTCTTATTACTAATGTTGAAAACAGTTGTGCTGCTTAATTATTTTTTTTAAGGAAACTGTGATACAATATTTTTTTTTTTTAAATACTCTGCCATTTTCATCACAGAACTATATATATGTATATGTATATATACATGTGTGTATTAAAATAAAGTGTAATTATCCAAAATAAAATGTTGTTTCTGAGGCATTTGTAATAGTGATTCAAGTTACCTAAAGAGGATGCATGTCATTTTTTGTCCTTTTTAATTGTAAATGAATTGTATTGGCATAACGGTTTGGGTCGGTATGATTTTGTAATGCTTTTGAAATAAGTATTTTATGCTCACCAAGGCTGCATTTATTTGATCAAATAAATGAATACATTCATAAAGGTTATATTGTGAAATATTAATTGAAATTTAAAACAATTGTTTTCTGTTTGAATATATTTTAAAATGTAATTTATTCTTGTGATGCAAAGCTGAATTTTCTGCATCTTTACTCCAGTTTTCAGTGTCACATGATCCTTCAGAAATCTTGCTAATGCTGGTATTCTGCTATATATATTATATATTTTCTGCTATTAAATATTTCTTATTACTAATGTTGAAAACAGTTGTGCTGCTTAATTATTTTTTTTAAGGAAACTGTGATACAATATTTTTTTTTTTTAAATACTCTGCCATTTTCATCATATATGTATATATGTATATGTATATATATACATGTGTGTATTAAAATAAAGTGTATGTGTGTGTATAATATATATATATATATATATATATACACACACACACACGTGTAGTATTTATTACTACTTTGAGCACATTTAAACAAAAATCATGCTTCACACATTTATGTGATTCATTCCTATAAGACTATCTGACCCTTCACCAAGCTCGTAGGTTGCTTGGTCTGTGTTAATTGGTTAAAACCTAATTGGTGGGTGGGACTATTACATAACAGCAGCGTGCACCTGTGTGATGATGTTGCATGGAGTCAGCAGTAATGTGACCTGTCCCAGTGCCCAAATCTAGAAACCAACCTGAAGAGCTGCAAAAAATATGGGCGGCTACACTTATCGTTCATAATCATCAGAAAAATATGCACACTTGGTATGTTTTGTTTTGATGAAACATGAATCTAGAAACACAATCATAAGCATTGCATTGACAGCAGTTTCCTTTGTTTTTCAAAATGACCTATGGGTCATTCTGTGTCAAATCAACCAAATTTCAGGAACTTCCCCAGCTAAAATGTTTGATTTTGTTAATATTTATTTTTCTTAAGAAAACAAACATGAATAGTGATTAAAGCCAAAATATTACATGCCATGGATGATTATTTACGGAGTAATCCACTGTTTTATAGAAGGGGGGTCAAAAGGGCAATTGGAGATTTGGAGCCAAACTACATTAGGGGTCAATAACTTTAGAAAGATGGCACTGTCATTACTTTATTTTTTCACAGAGATTGGTATATTTATTAGTAATATCTGTTATGGTTAATTTAAAATATGGGGATCTCATTGTTGCCCCATGAGTACATTTTTAATTAAAAATGATCAAAATCAAAGTTTTCAGCTCTAGGTGAGCAATGGCCCCTATGCGATCTGTTGTATCTTTGTATGTTTTTGAACAATTATCAATAGAGCTATATGGTCTTTTTCAAATGGGTCTTTATAGCCCCGTTTCCACCGCAGGAACTTTCCCCAGGAACTAGGGACTTTGGGCCAGTACTCGGTGTGTTTCCACCACAGGAACCAGGATCTAAATAAAGTTCCGGGTAAAAATTTGCTCCTCAGAAAGTCTCTGCTCGTGGGGTAATACTTTTCCAAAGGTCCGGAACTTTCAGGGGTGGGACTTGCTCGCTGAACATTCTGATAGGTTGAGTTCACTCAGCATTGTATTTTTTATTTATATATATATATATATATATATATATATATATATAAGTATTTCAGGTAAGAATGTAGTTGTTTAAAACCCAAATCTGCGGTTTATTTATAAAGACAGCACCTATTTGAAAATGTGCTTCACCGATTTCGGAGACGTGAGCTCCACGCGATCAGCGGGCGCTCAGTGCTCATGTTTCCCGACGAGAGCAGCCTCAACTCGGCTAGTTCTTCTTATATTTGCCGCTGGCTCTGATGTCTCTGTAGTGGTTAAACATAAGATGTCTTTTGTTTTGGGTAAATCTAACAGGTAATCTTTGGTCTTTATTCAATTAATCTATTAATATGTTAAAATGAATGTATGTACGTTCCCTGAACTGCATTTCTGCGGCTGTTAATATGTTTAAATGAAAACGAAAAAAGGCAGTGGTGTTCGATATCATATTTCGTATTATTGTAAATACATTGAGGAAAATTGCAGTAGCCAAGGCGAGCTGACCGATTTCAAGTACGCTGCTGTTTGCAGAATTACCGGACTTGCATCGTCCCGTCCGCGTGAGTTCACACTCCCGAGTCGAAATTGCAAAGTCCAAAATTTGCGTACTTGGTATTGAGAAACGTGCTCAGACCTATGTCACCAGACTATTTGCCAAATCTTTTCTGTACTTTAGACCATGATGAAAACGCAGAAAGCAACAGGTCTGGGGGGGAAAATTTTCCTGGGACAAATTGTTCCAGGTAATTTCAGTGGAAAAACGGCTTTTGAAGCAAGTTTTAGTGCAAATCATGTCATCAAGTCATGTATCATTGTATAAATCTGAGATCGTTTCATATTCTAGGTACATTCCTCCTCTTCTATGGGGTAAAAGCGGTCATCTGCAGACAGCCCTCTATGGAAAGTTGGGTCGGGTCAGTTCACCACACCCGTTCGGCCTGCGCAAATATCTGCCCATGCAGGACGGGGCCACGGCAACTTTTGACCTCTTTGAACCCCTGGCGGATAATCAGTCCGGAGGTCAGTGCCACGTAGTTGGGTTTTAGTCTGAGCTGGAGCGTAACACTACACTCCTGTGTGGAAAAACGGATAAATGATGGCCTCTCATTCAGGTTCAAGGAGGGTAGTATCATTTAAGTAGTTTGCTTGATCATCATTCTGAAGAAGAGGTATTAATTACAGGAATGCTTATCTATATGAAATGCCATTTTGCTTTTATGTAATGTGACCTTTTTAGTGAAAGCTTATTTCCACCATGAAATAAAAATATAATTCTTTAGTCTCGCAATTCTGATGTTCTGTCTTACAAATCTGGATTTTTTTTTCCTAGTAATTCTGAGATATAAATGTAGAAGTGTGATATATATATATATATATATATATATATATATATATATATATATATATATATATATATATATATA